TACTCAAAACCTCAATCACTGGGTTTGGATTTTAGAAAGACTAAGTCATGGAAAAACATTGTAGAATTAGCAAAGCTGTGATGGACATTTCAGTAATTCCTTTATATGCGAGCAGCCTGCCAATGTCCTTGTTAACTCTTTATTACAAAAATTGCATTAGTGAATGGGAAAGTTATTCTGGCTTCAGCACCTTGGGTGCGTAAATGATGTATTTTTTTCTTTTTGGCATACTCCTGAACTCATTTAACTAATAAACATAAATAAACATATAATATAGCTTTCGATTGTTGTAAATACACTGTTGAGTTATTCATTTTGATCCAAATGAATTGCAAATTTGAATGAAAATTCCAAAATGTGACAAGAAATTCTAAGTATGTTGTTTGTTACATTTAGTAGTTTTAAAGCTACGCAGGGTAATCACCACTAGAGTAAAATGAAAAAAAAAGAGGACACACTCGTCACACATAAAGCATTTCAGAAAACTAAAATGACTTTTCAGGTTTACACATTAAAATTTTCTAGTTTCGTTTTTTTGGGTCTATGTACTGTAACTAAACCCCCATTATTTTTGCCTAGGTGAGGTGTTCTTAAATAAATCTATTATACTCTGTGAACTTTAAAATTGCCGTTTAGAGAATGAGTGAGTGTGTTAGATTTTGTATATTATATATAATTTCATTCCAAGTATATTTTGATATTAATATATATTGATATCAAAGTACACTAAGAATGAAATTATATATCTAAAAAATGTCATTCTTGCTATATAAAAATATATTTGTGAGGCTTATATAATGATTTTAAAAATATATATATATATTTCTATTTTTGGGAAATGTCTGACAACCCAACAGTTCCACTGCAGACAGTGTCTCAAACTGATAATCTGGCTACTTGATCGCAAAGTCAATAATAATTATTTATTTTACATTTTTAAAACTTTCATTATTTTGCTTGATCTGTAAATAGAAATGAATTAACATTATCAGGGTTATTCACTAAAGATCGGACTTTGTTCGCAGTATTTAACAGTGTCTGGACTTTGCAATTCAGGTATGGAATGGGCTTGAATTTGGTCCAAAATTTAGCTGGACAGAAAACCACCGGACAGCTGAAATTCTGACCTGACTGTTTTAAATCCAGGCCCTATGCCTGGAGTGGAGGATCAGTATAAGTCCTATGTTATTATAATGGATGGTTTTAAATTCAGTAATTTGACCGATCACGTGATCAGCACATATTTGGATGATTTGCAGTTTGGAATGAAAGTCTAATTAGTGATATATGCATGGTATCTGCAGATATTTTTATGAATGCCGAATTTGTTTCCTTAAACTGTGTGCTTTTGTGAAAAGGTCGTCTGAGAAAATAGTGTTCTTTGCTGTGTGCCTATCAGTGTATGAGATGTGCACTAATTGGGAAGATATTTTACAAGGGACATTGTTAGCAAAGAAGTGACCAAGTAACCTTTATTTTATCACTGTGATAAAGAAAAATGTAGATGATTAGAAATAAAAATATGCAAGATTTGTACACCTATTTACTATGAAAAATATTCCTGTAAACGGAATTCTTTTTTTATTTCTCTCCTGAAGGTTTCTAAAACTGGAATATTTATTAATGCCTAAATGCTACAGGCAACTGCATCTTGTTATTGTCCGCCCTCACTTTTACTATAGGTCAGGTTTTATTGTGGTTGTGGATGTTTTACTGAGCACTTAAATAAAATTATGATGTAGTCTCGCAGGTTAACATATGTTTAATACAAACTCTTTTATTTTTCCGCATGTCTCTTTTGAAAGAGATTAGAAAGATCAAGCTTGATTTACTGAAGAGAAAGAACCATACTGCTGCTGATAAAAAGAGTTATGCTCAGAATTTATTTTAAAGACCTATGATATTCTAGATCAGTGATGGCGAACCTTTTTGAGCCCGAGTGCCCAAACCGCAATACATGCCAACTTTTTGTCTCCTTAAAGTGCCAACACGGCAATTAAACCCAAATACTGAGGTTTAAGTTTAGAAAAAACAACTCGTACTCTTGTCCGAACTAATAACTTTTGTTTTAAAAGAACACAGAAAGTTCAATGATACAAATTTTAAATAATGATTTAAATAGATAAAATTAAGCTTATATTTATTAGTATCTCCAACAAATGCAATACATACACACAGATGACTGCTGAATACAGAGACTGATGAATACACACAGTCTGCTGAATACACATACATACAGACTGCTGAGTACACACACAGACTGCTGAGTACAAACACACACAGACTGCTGAGTACACACACACACACACAGACTGCTGAGTACACACACACACTGCTGAGTACACACACACACACTGCTGAGTAGTCACACACACAGTCCGCTGAATACACGCAAACACACACAGTCCGCTGAATACACGCACACACACACACAGACTGCTGAATACACGCACACACACTGCTGAATACACACATACTGCATTGAGGTGGGGGGTGCTGTGTGTGGAGGGGTGCTTGTGTGGGGGGTGCGTGTGTGTGTGAGTGCTGTATGTGAGGGGTGCTGTGTGTGTGTGTGCTGTATGTGTAAGGGTGCTGCGGGGGGGTAGGGTACTGCTGGGGGGGGGGGGTACTGCTGGGGGTACTGCTGGGGGGGTAGGAGTACTGGGGGTGGAGTACCGCTGGGGGTAGGGTACCGCTGGGGCTGGGGCTGGGGGGAGGGGGTACTGCTGGGGGTAGGGGTACTGTGTGTGGGGGTGGGGGTACTGTGTGTGGGGGTAGGGGTACTGGGGTGGGGGGGGGGGGTAGTACCGCTGGGGGTAGTGTACTGCTGGGGGTAGGGGTACTGCTGGGGGGTAGGGGTACTGTGTGTGGGGGGGGTAGGAGTACTGCTGGGGGTAGGGTACTGTGGGGTAGGTACTGTGTGTGGGGGGTAGGAGTACTGCTGGGGGGGTAGGGGTACTGCTGGGGGGGTAAGGGTGCTGTGTGTAAGTATACCCCCCCCTCCCTCCTTCTTACCTTTAATGAAGTAAGGGGGGGGCACAGCCATCCCTGGTGGTCCGGTGGTGGTAAGCACTGCAGGGGGAGGGCTCTGTAATGCAGCTCCCCTGTCCTCCCGCGCAATGCTGTGTGGAGCGTTGCCATGGCAACGCGCTGCAACGCTCCACACAGCATCGCGCGGGAGGACAGGGGAGCTGCATTACAGAGCCCTCCCCCTGCCTCCCGACCCGGAAGCAGAGTAGGCGCCTGCCGTTTCGGGCAGGCAGGCGCCTACTCTGCATTGATGGTGAACCTGTGGCCGCGTGCCCACAGAAAGGGCCCCGCGTGCCACCTGTGGCACGCGTGCCATAGGTTCGCCATCACTGTTCTAGATCATAGTTCACAGGCTGGTTCAGGAGTGTTAATGGCTCAACCGGCGAATCTATTTGCAGCTCTTCTCTGTAGCATTGTAAAAATGTTCCGCCCTCCCATGTGATATTGAAAGTTTAAAGTTTGTTACTCTAACAACAATAACCACTTCAACTTGCTGGAGTGGTTATGGTTAAAAGGCCTGTCTGTGCAGCTTTATTGGGATTCAATGGTCACTTTTTTATTTTAATTATTTATTTTTAAGAAAGAGAACCAATTGGCTTTCTGGATGTGAGTGATTAGAGGTTTTCTAATCAATTAATTTCTTAGGTTTCACAGACCCCAGCATGCATTCATACAATAGTTTTTTTGTTCCCTTTATAAATACAGCTGCATAGAAGTGATGCTTCTGTCTTACTATGGCACAATCCTCGGACATACCTTATTCAGCTTCTCCCTCCCTTCCACGTGATCCCTCAGTTTTAATTTCCTTAACTTTATCATAAACAATAACCCTCAGCTCTTCTAAAAATCCTCACAGATTTTTTGATTATTTTTGCCAAAATGGCCACACTACATAATCTCAGTTCTTCCACACATTTTATTGTTTCCATGTAACTATTTGACAAATGCAAAAAACACCAATTTCTCAAGTACTAAGAAACTTTAAAAAAAAAATGCAAATCATTTTAACAATGGAAATACATTTTAAAAACATCTGTTTATATTTAGAAACATAATTACCTTTGGGATTAGAATTTACAGATGTTTGTTTCATTGTAGACCTCTGCTGGGGGTAATGTCGGAATGTAGCCTTCTGTTCTACATTGACTCACACTCGGCTCCTTTGAATATAAGCTGCAGTGATTAGTATTTAGTCATGTTTGTTGACTGATGTAATTGTGTCCAACATTTGCTATATTGGAATTATTTTCAACTACGTGTCACTACATAAATACAGTGAGCTCATTGAACCGTCTGAATGGAGAAAACAAAGATAATCAATAATTATATGAGCATATATTGTTAAATGATTAAAGGGACACTATAGTCACCAGCAAAACTTTATCTTGATTAATCAGTTTTGATGTATAGATCAAGCCACTGCAATTTCACTGTTAAATTCTTTGCCATATAGGAGTTAAATCACTTTATTTATGCAGCCTTCCTAAACACTTCCTGTAAAGAGTATGGCAAATTCTGTTTAATTTAGAATTTATCATTGTTTTCTCTTTTAATAGCAGCAAGACCCTGTAGAAGCCTCCTGTCTGTGATTAAAGTTCAATTTACAGAGCACGAGATAAAAAACTTTAAAAGTAAGTTACATCTGATTGAAAATGAAACCATTTTGTTTTCATGCAGGCTGTGTCAGTCACAGCCAGGGGAGGTTTAACCAGCGCTGCATAAACACAAACAAAAGTGATTTAACTCCTAAATAACAGAGAATTGAGCAGTGAGGCGGCAAGGGCATGACCTACACACTAAAACTGGTTCATTAAGCTAAAGTTGTATTGGTAACTATTGTGTCCCTTTAAAATCATTAAATCTTATTTTTTACTACAATAAAGAACCCAGGCAACAGTGAAGCCATTATACAGTCAGATGCAGGGAAACAAACATTTTATGCGTTTTACTTCAATTATGATGGCAGTGTTTTTTGTTTTTTTTTATTACTATAATGTCTGTACTTTAAAAAACTGATTAATGGGGCACTATAGGGTCAGGAACACAAACATGTATTCCTGATCCTACAGGGTTAAAACCACCATCTAAGCATCTAAACCCCCTGCCCACACCTTGCCCTCCTAAATATAGTAAAATCTTACTTGTATTCCAGTCTGCTGATGCTGATTCTGATGCCCCTGATCTGCCTGCGTGACTGTCATTATCAGTAGTGATTATCTGAGCCAATCACAATGCTTTCTGAGTTGGCAAAATAGCGGAGTTGGAGAATTTTTCAAATTGAGCAGGCAACAGCAATATATTGTTGGGTGGTTGACGTTACAGGGACCAAGAGTTAGTTAAATGTGTCTTACCAAACGATTTTACATTTGTAGTTTTTTTTCCCTAAGGAAGCAACTCACCACTGTGAATATAATTTTCTAAGAAACTAAGACTGGCAAGATTATATTCCCAATGATGTGCAACCCATGGTTGCTTATCTTTAATATTCTATAATAATTTCCCTTTAATGTGGTTAATGAAACTGGAAAAAAGTTCTGACAGGACTGTCTGTATGTCCATATTCATTTAAAAGAAGATTATTGATGAAGATGTTGACCACACTTTTATTTCTTCTCCATATCATCCCTCAGAATGCAGACATGTAAATGTACTTTCATTGTGTTTTGTCCTAAATAAATTATCCAAAGAAAAGATCCAAAATTGTCAAGGAATCAGAGTTAATTCCAAAGCAAGAGGCTATTGACCAGAGACTGAAATAAGATATTGCAATGTATGGTTTAGTCTGAGGTGGCACAGTGCCTTATCCTCACTGCCTAAAGACAACGATCTTTACAACTATTTAACTTAACCACAGCATTCCTTCCACATAGTCTGACACATGCTGGAAATGTCTTTGTATATATTTCTATAATTATTTTGTAATATTCATTAAACAATCTGTCTTTCGAGTTTATTTAGACTGTTGCTTTTTAATAAGTTATGTGCATTGTGATTGAATAGAGGAAGCAGCATCACTGTTTTACCATACAATTAGAGAAAGACAAATGTCAAATTAGCCTAATAATGGCCTCAATTGAATATTGTTAAATAAGCTTTTCAAATGACTTAGTCTTTTTGGAGAAACTTTTAAAATGATTTTATATTCTGAAAAAAGATATAAAGTGTTAATATTTTGATATTTTTGGATATATTCATATTTGTTTTTGTAATTTAATAATTTTTTTAAAAAAATCACAATTACATTTAATTAAAAAATGTTAATATCAATTTAAAACCTTATCCAACAATATTAAATCAAAGTCAATATTATGTACTAGACATGCAAAACCCCAAGAAAGAACCAGCATGGTTCAGGAAGCAAAAAGAGAAATTAAAAACCTTGGGAAACCGATAATTTCTGATGACATTAAAGGAGCAATAAATAAGTTACAGATCAACAAAGCCCCTGGCCCGGACGGTTACTCAAATAAATTCTATAAGATATTCAGAGATACTCTTTCAGTGCGTCTTGCTAGGATATTTAATGAGATAGTGGTTAATCGTACATTTCCTAAAGAGATGCTTCAAGCAAATATTGTCCCAATCTTGAAGCCGGACAAAGATCCAGCTAAATTGGTGAATTACCACCCTATATCTCTCCTCAATGGAGATGTAAAGATCTATGCCTCGATCATAGCAGACCACTTAAAAATCTGTGTTCCCGCCCTGATACATCAGGACCAGGCCGGATTCATTCCTGGCAGAGCAACTTTAGGTGGTCTCAGAAGGATATTGGATGTTCATGATGCTGCATCGAGGAAGAATGTTTCCCTTCTGACCCTGTCATTGGATGCTGAGAAAGCTTTTGACAGGGTCAGATGGGATTTTCTGGGGAATGCATTGAAGTCGTATGGCATAGTGGGGGCAGGTCTATATACTATACCTTCAGCAAGGACGGTAGGTCCAGGAATAGATGCAGACTAGTTTAATATTATGAATGGCACTAGACAGGGCTGCCACCTGTCCCCTTTGCTTTGTTTTAACCATCAAGCCCCTGGCAGAAGATATAAGGCAAAATGGGAAGATTAAGGGACTCAGGTTATATAAAGTAGAACATAAGATCAACTTATATGTTGACGACGTCATGCTTATGTTGCAGAATCCTAGATCCTTGCTGCCGGAATTCATAAAGATACTAGGTCAGTATAGTGAATACTCAAATTATAAATTAAATACTAATAAGACTATAATAATGACAACTAATATATCTAGTGAAGATAACCTTTTTTTAAAATATCTTATGATTTTGTCTGGGCACAGGACAATACTATGTTCCTTGGTATTAAAATACCAAGAAACATAAAAAAAGTTATAGAGGTTCATTTTCTCCCCCTCATAAAATATACAAATAAGACCTTAAAAGAATGGGCTAGCAGGGAGATTTCCTGGATAGGGTGAATAAACACTATTCGCTCATACATTTTGCCCAAATGGAATTATCTTTTTAGAATGCTACTGTTACTTCCTGTGATACCATCAGTACTTCCTGCCGGCCCAAAGAAGATGTACCTGTGGATTGTGCCATTGCTTCTAATGGCACTACAGTCCGTACAGAAGATCTTGAAATGTTCGAAAAAGCATTGTTAGCCACGAACACTGCTCCTGCCGAAGTAATGGAAGTACTTACCACCTGCACCCAGATCCTATAAGACTGTTCTCCAGCCGTACCAGAAGCTGGTACTAAGGAGCCCCATGCTGTAAAGGGATTCCACACTGGGGACTTTGACTATGGGGACTCCCTTGATTCAGACAGTGAACCTGAAGAGGTGTTCTGTTATGACTACGAACCTATTCACGCCCAGAGGGCGTTCTTGAAGGGGGGGTACTGTCACAGTTCTCACCGCAGTAGACAGACGGCAAGACATGGTTGCCCAAGGAGTTCCCAACAAAGGATCTGAACCGGGGAACTTCGCAGTCCTGGTCCTGCTTCCTACCTCTGAGCCACAGCAGCTTTTGTATTCCACAAGTCATTCCGGTCCTGTTCATCCTGGCATGTCTATTACTCTGGGGGCTGTACCTTGACTTTGGCTGTGCTTCACCTGACCCTGATCAGACATTAGCAGGGTATTTAAACTCAGCCTCGCCCTGTGATCAGGATCAAGTCTTTGATCCTGTTTTGTACCAGTGTTCCTGTCGTTTGATCTGCTACTTATTATTGACCCGGCTTCTGACTACGTTTACTCTGACCTCTGGCATCCCTTGACTTCGGCTACTCCTCGTTGTTCCTGTCCTCTGGCATCCTTTGACCTCGGCTATCCCTTGACAATCCTGCTGTTTGAGTCCTTGCCTGTCCTGCGACTTGGTACTTCATCCTGTACAGACCCACAGGCCAGGTGAATTCTTACCTGACCACCTTGGCCTGTGGCTATCTGCAAGGGTGGGCAACATATCTGCGCTACAGACTCCCAACCCAGGTAAGACCCTGACAGCTACCAATACAAGTCCCAATTCCCTGGTTAAAAATGATAGTCAGCTTTCTCTAAATTCATTTGGAAGGGGAAAAAACCCAGAATAAGTTTACATTTGTTATCTAAAAAAAAAGATGGGGGGTCTTGCTGCCCCAAATATAATAGAATATCACAATGGCTGTATGTTGGCACATGCTGTTAATACCTTAAGTACAGATCAAAAAGATCAAGCCTGGTACCAAATAGATCAATAATTAGTAGAGACAGACATGCTGTCTGCCCTATTTTGGGCAACAAGAAAGGAGAAAAATAAGAGCAAACCAGTATGTCCAGGAAATTCGATTATTATTGACAGTATTTTGAGACACTGGAATAAAATGAAGAAAGACTTTAAAATAGAATACAAACTGTTTCCATTCTTACCCATAGAGGTGATTAAGGGGAACATTGAGGATATTAATATTAGCGGATGGTCACAGAAGGGAATTAAGAATATTCAAGAGATTATAGATAGAAAGGAAATCAAGCCATTCAACCAGCTACAAATAGAGTTCGGGATTGATAACAAGGAGATATTTACATATTTAAGAATCAAGTTTTCTTTGGCGAAATTCTTGGATTTCCAGGTTAATAAAAACTCAAGTAATCTTAAAAAGATTCTGGAAACTCATAGAATTAAAGGCCATGTTACAAGTTCTTAAAGCACTCTCAGAAGCCCTATGTCTGGAAATTTAAAGGACCACTCTAGGCACCCAGACCACTTCAGCTTAATGAAGTGGTCTGGGTGCCAGGTCCAGCTAGGGTTAACCCATTCTTTCATAAACATAGCAGTTTCAGCGAAACTGCTATGTTTATGAATGGGTTAAGCCTTCCCCTATTTCCTCTATTGGCTGTCTCATTGACAGCCACTAGAGGCGCTTGCGTGCTTCTCACTGTGATTTTCACAGTGAGAGCACGTCATCGTCCATAGGAAAGCATTATGAATGCTTTCCTATGTGACCGGCTGAATGCGCGCGCAGCTCTTGCTGCACGTGCGCATTCAGCCGACGGGAAGGAGAAGAGGAGGATTGGAGGAGGAGAGCTCTCCGCCCAGCGCTGGAAAAAGGTAAGTTTTAACCCCTTTTCCCCCTTCCAGAGCCGGGCGGGAGGGGGCCCTGAGGGTGGGGGCACCCTCAGGGCACTATAGTGCCAGGAAAACGAGTATGTTTTCCTGGCACTATAGTGGTCCTTTAAGATTAAGTAGGAAAGATCTACAAATTACTGAGCAAGATATGATAAGTGCGATAGTTAAGGTCAATAAATCGGTACATTGTCTGAATATTTTATAAACTCATAAACAGTTGGTATATGGTCCCAGAAAAATTGGCTAAAATTTATAAAGATCAGAATCATGTTTGTTGGAGATGTGATGATGGGAAAGGAGATTATCTCTATATATGGTGGCAATGTAAAGACGACCACCACTGAACAAGACACACAAGCTGAAACGTCAAGACTTGGCCAAGAAATATCTCAAGACTGATTTTTCTAAGGTTTTATGGACTGATGAAATGAGAGTGAGTCTTGATGGGCCGGATGGATGGGCCCGTGGCTGGATTGGTAAAGGGCAGAGAGCTCCAGTCCGACTCAGACGCCAGCAAGGTGGAGGTGGAGTACTGGTTTGGGCTGGTATCATCAAGATGAGCTTGTGGGGCCTTTTCGGGTTGAGGATGGAGTCAAGCTCAACTCCCAGTCCCACTGCCAGTTCCTGGAAGACACCTTCTTCAAGCAGTGGTACAGGAAGAAGTCTGCATCCTTCAAGAAAAACATGATTTTCATGCAGGACAATGCTCCATCACACGCGTCCAAGTACTCCACAGCGTGGCTGGCAAGAAAGGGTATAAAGAAGAAAATCTAATGACATGGCCTCCTTGTTCACCTGATCTGAACCCCATTGAGAACCTGTGGTCCATCATCAAATGTGAGATTTACAAGGAGGGAAAACAGTACACCTCTCTGAACAGTGTCTGGGAGGCTGTGGTTGTGTCAGGGTACCTGTTGGTGATGTATCCAGGGAGGACATCCTCTCTGCTTAGGGCCTCCCTGCCCCTAGCATTTCGGCATATTCCGTCCGTTTTCGCGCCGGCCGCGCTAGCTCCTCCCCCTTTTATGACGCGACGGCTAGCGTCGACGTCATGACGTCGGCATTTGCATAAAGTGCCGGGAACCGCTATTTCGGACCTTTTGGGGGCGTGGTCTCTATTTAGGTACAGGGTATTTAAAGGAAACCTTTACTACTGCTCATTGCCCTGTCGTGGTTCTAGCTTGCTAGTCACTCAGCGCGTTCTTTATCTTGTGTTTCCGGTTTTGACCCTTGCTTGTCTTCTGTCCTGTTGTCCTCTCCTCTCCTTTGACTCGGCTTGTATCTCGCTTACCTGTCCTCCGGCTCCCTCGACCTCGGCTTACCTTTTGACTATTCTGCTTGGTCCCTACGTTAGTCCGGCCATTCTAAGGTCAGGTATACGTACCTCCTTCTGTCCGCACTCTGCGTATTGGATCCCTGTCAGTATCCTGACATTACGACAGGGCCATGATGGATCCTGCAGGTGCTAGTCCTCCTGACCCCAGATTTGAGGCCATGGACCATAGAATGGACCAAATGGCTTTAGCGTTACAAACTTTGTTGACACGCTCCAGTACCCAGTCTGAAGAAATACGTTCCACTGCCAGCCACTCGCTAAGTACTGGTTTGGAAGTAGCCACTGTAGGCGCATCTTCCCATGTCACTTCACCATTACGATATGGGGGTTCGCCTGATGCTTGTCGTGGTTTTTTAAACCAGATAAGCATACATTTCGAACTACAACCCCGGGCTTATCCCACTGACAGGGCTAAGGTAGGCTTTATTATAACCCTGCTAATAGATAAAGCACTTAGATGGGCCAATCCCCTTTGGGAGAATGACAATCCTTTAGTATACAACTACACTGCGTTTGTCACGGCTTTTAGAAGAACCTTTGACCCCCCAGGGAGGAAGATTAATGCGGCCAGATCCCTGTTACGCCTTAAACAACAAGATAGGACCCTTGTAGAATATGCTCTAGAGTTTAGATCATTGGCAGCAGAGGTGAAATGGAACGAACAAGCTTTTATGGATGTTTTCTTGAATGGGTTGTCTGATGAAATTCTAGATGAAATTGCCACAAGAGAACTTCCGGAAAATTTAGAGGATTTAATATCCTTCATTTCCAGAATAGATGAACGCATGAGACAGAGGCAGAACACTCGGGAAAGAGTTACTAGACTTCCTGTAAGACTAGCTCCCTCATTTCAGAACCCTGACTCCTATAATCCTACTCCACCAGAACCTATGCAAATAGGTAATACTCGCTTATCTGAGGCTGAGAGACAGTACAGGAGAAGGGAGGGTCTCTGTTTATACTGCGGGCTGAGAGGTCACTTACGTCTTAGTTGCCCTAATCGTCCGGGAAACGCTCGCACCTAAGTTCCCTTAGAGGACGGGCCTTGGGTGTTTCATTACTGTCCTCTATGCATAATAAAAAGACCATAGGCTTCTGATTCCTGTCTCTCTAGCTTGGGAAAAGGGGTTTATTGCTACAATGGCATTATTAGATTCTGGAGCAGCAGAAAGCTTTATAGACCAAACTTTCGCTAATAAGCATTGTATCCCATTCCAATTGAGAGATACACCCTTGGCCGTTGAGGCCATAGATGGTAGACCTTTATCTGAACCAGTAATATTCCATGAGACCGAACCCGTTAAGCTTACTGTTGGTATTTTCCATGAGGAGTTGATTTCCCTTCTGTTAATTTCCTCCCCGGCAGTCCCAGTGGTACTAGGATATTCTTGGCTCAAGAGACACAACCCTCAGATTGACTGGGAGGGTGGATAAATCGTTTCTTGGGGTATGGGTTGTAGGAAAGAATGTCTGCAGAGAGTTACTTCTGTTTGCCCCGTAAACTCTTATGTTAACACTTCTCAATCCACAGACGTTCAGATACCATTACAATATCTAGACCTCAAATCTGTATTTGACAAGGGTAAGGCGGATACTTTGCCTCCCCACCGGTCTTATGACTGTTCTATTAAACTTTTCCCTGGTACTATGCCTCCCAGGGGTACGGTATACCCTCTATCCACCAAGGAAAACTTAGTTTTAGAGGAATATATCAAGGAGAAT